ATGGTTAGTGGGGTGGGGGATGGGTGATGGTTAGTGGGGTGGGGGAGGGGTGTGGTTAGTGGGGTGGGGGAGGGGTGATGGTTAGTGGGGTGGGGGAGGGGTGATGGGGGGAGGGGTGATTGGTTAGTGGGTTGGGGGAGGGGCGATGGTTAGTGGGTGGGGGTGGGGTGATGGTTAGTGGGGTGGGGGAGGGGTGATGGTTAGTGAGGGGGTGGGGGGGGGGTGATGGTTAGTGGGGTGGGGGAGGGGTGATGGTTAGTGGGGTGGGGGGAGGGGTGATGGTTAGTGGGGTGGGGGGAGGGGTGATGGTTAGTGGGGTGGGGGGGGGTGATGGTTAGAGGGGTGGGGGAGGGGTGATGGTTAGTGGGGTGGGGGAGGGGTGATGGTTAGTGGGGTGGGGGAGAGGGTGATGGTTAGAGGGTGGGGGAGGGGTGATGGTTAGTGGGGTGGGGGGAGGGGTGTTGTTAGTGGGGTGGGGGAGGGGTGAGGTTAGTGGGGTGGGGGGAGGGGTGATGGTTAGTGGGGGTGGGGGGGGTGATGGTTAGTGGGTGGGGGGGGGTGATGGTTAGTGGGGGTGGGGGGGGGTGATGGTTAGTGGGGTGGGGGGAGGGGTGATGGTTAGTGGGGTGGGGGAGGGGTGATGGTTAGTGGGGTGGGGGGAGGGGTGATGGTTAGTGGGGTGGGGGGAGGGGTGATGGTTAGTGGGGTGGGGGAGGGGTGATGGTTAGAGGGGTGGGGGAGGGGTGATGGTTAGTGGGGTGGGGGGAGGGGTGATGGTTAGTGGGGTGGGGGAGGGGTGATGGTTAGAGGGGTGGGGGAGGGGTGTATGGTTAGTGGGGGGGGGGAGGGGTGATGGTTAGTGGGGTGGGGGAGGGGTGATGGTTAGTGGGGTGGGGGGAGGGGTGATGGTTAGTGGGGGGGGGGGGTGATGGTTAGTGGGTGTGGGGGAGGGGGGTGATGGTTAGTGGGGTGGGGGAGGGGTGATGGTTAGTGGGGTGGGGGGAGGGGTGATGGTTAGTGGGGTGGGGGAGGGGTGATGGTATAGTGGGGTGGGGGAGGGGTGATGGTTAGTGGGGTGGGGGGGGTGATGGTTAGTGGGGTGGGGGGAGGGGTTGATGGTTAGTGGGGTGGGGGAGGGGGTGATGGTTAGTGGGGTGGGGGAGGGGTGATGGTTAGTGGGGTGGGGTGGAGGGGTGATGGTTAGTGGGGTGGGGGAGGGGTGATGGTTAGTGGGTGGGGGAGGGGTGATGGTTAGTGGGGTGGGGGAGGGGTGATGGTTAGTGGGGTGGGGGAGGGGTGATGGTTAGTGGGCGTGGGGGAGGGTGTGATGGTTAGTGGGGTGGGGGGGGGGTGTGGTTAGGGGGGTGGGGGGGGGGTGAGGGTTGTGGGGTGGGGGGGGGTGTGGTTGGGGGGTGGGGGAGGGGTGAGGTTGGGGGGGGGGAAAGGGGGGGTGAGGTTAGTGGGGTGGGGGAGGGGTGATGGTTAGTGGGGTGGGGAGGGGGGATGGTTAGGGGGGTGGGGGGGGGGAGGAGGGGGGGGGAGGGGTAGGGGAGGGAATCCCAAAAATCTATAAAATAAAAGGAAAGGTCCGTGTGGTAGCTTACATTGTTTTCATTCTCCTCCCTCTTCCCTTTCCCCTTTCTTTCTTCTCCTCCTCCCCTCTCCACCTAAAAAATTTCAATTTCTCTTCCTCTCCCTTTTCCCTTTCCTTTCTTTCCCTTTTCCCTTTCCTTTTTTTCTTCCCCTTGTTGTTCTAACTAATCTTGTTCTCTGTCTCCCATATTTCATTATTCCCCTGCCTTGCTCTTCCTTAGAAACTTCCTTCCTCTCTGTCTTTTTCCCCAAATCCTGTCTCATTCCTCTGTTCTTTCCCCAATCCTGTTCACCTTTTCCTCGGGTCTTTTTTCCCAATCTTTTACTTCCTCTCGTTTCTTTCCACACCCTGTCTCACTTCCTCTTCTTTCCCCATTTTGTTCCTTCCTTCTGTCTCTTTCCCAAATCCTGTCTCACCTTCCTCTCTGTCCTTTCCCACATCCTGCTCCCCTTCCCTCTTTTTTTTTCCCCCACATCCTGTCTCACTTCCCTCTCTGTCCCCTTTTCCCCAAACCCCTGCTCACCTTTCCCTTCTGTCTCCTTCCCATCCTGTCTCCCCTTCCCTCTTGTCTCTTTTCCCCACATCTGTTCACTTCCCTCTCTGTTTTTTCCCCCAAAATCCTGTTCCCCTTCCTCTCTGTTTCTTCCCAATCCTGTCTACCTTCCTCTCTGTTCTCCTTCCCACTCCTGTCTCACTTCCTCTCTGTTCTTTTCCCCACTTTTCTGTTACTTCCCTCCTGTCTTTTCCCACCCCCCGTCTCCCTTCCCTCTGCCCTTTCCCAACCCCGTCTCCCCTTCCTCTCTGTCCCCTTCCCCACACCCTGTTCCCCTTCCTTGTCATTTTCCCCCCAATCCTGTTCACCTTCCTCTCTGCACTTTCCCATCTGTCTAAATTTCTTGTCTCTTTTCCCCCAATCTGTCTCACCTTCCTCTCTTTCTCTTCCCACACCCTGTCCCCCTTTCTCTTCTTTTTTCCCACATCTGCTCACTTCCCTCTTTTCTTTTCCCCACACCCTGTCTCCCCTTTCTTCTTTTCCCCCACATCCTGTTTCCCCCTTCCTCTCTTCTTCCACATCCTGTTCCCTTCCTTCTCTTTCCCCCACACCCTGTTCCTTCCCTCTTTTTCCCCACTTTGTTTTTCCCTTCCTCTCTCTCTTTTCCAAATCCGTTCCCCTTTCCCCTCTTCTTCCCCTCCCTTTTCTCACCTTCCTTTCTTTTCCCAAATCCGTTCACCTTTCTCTCTCTTCCACACCCTGTCTCACTTCTTTTCTTCCCACACCTGTTCACCTTCCTTTCTTTCCCAATCCGTCTCCCTTTCCTTTTCTTTTCCCCAAAACCCCTTCTCCCCCTTTTTTCTCCTTTTCCCAAACTTCTCACTTCCTCTCTCTTTTCCCCAATCCTGTCTCCCCTTCCCTCTTTTTCCACTCCTGTCTCACCTTCCCCTCTTTTTCCCCACATCCTGTTCCCTTTTCCTCTCTTTTCCCACATCCTGTCTCATTCCTCTTCTTTCCCCACCCCTGTCCCCCTTCCTTCTCTCTTTTCCCCACTCGTCTCACCCTTGCCCTTCCCCTTTCCCCGGGTTTTCCTAAAATTGTTTTTAGTGTTGTGTGTGTGTGTGGTTGTGTGTGTGTGTGGGTGGGTGTGTGTGGTGTGTGTGTGTGTTGTTTTGTGTGTGTGTGTGTGTGTTTTCTCACATAGTGTTGCGTGGTTGTACACCCCTGACCCGTCTTGGTCGTTGTGGGCCCACACCTGCGGGTTTTTGAGAGCCTTATGTATTTATAAATATGTTGGATTTTTGCGGCGCAGAAAACACCCCGGGTGGATAAGGCTTATCCAGGAGAGTCTGGGAGGCCGTGGGCGTTGCCCCACAAACATCGTTCAGTACTTCCATCCCCCGGTTGTTCCAGTTAACTGCCCAAAGACTGTCTCACCTATTTGTGATTGCAGAGGTCGTTTCACAGCTCCTGGCCCCGCCTTTCACTGATCGCTACTAGGTCCTTCCCTGCTCCAGAACTTATTTGTGTGTGTATGGGTGGGGTCTTTGATGGGGACTTGGTGGGTGTGGGGGGGGGATGTGGTGGGGTCGTGATGGGGTACGTGGTGGGGGGTCGTGGGTGGGGATGTGGTGGGGTGTGGTGGGGATGTGGCGCGGGTGTGTGATGGGGACTTGGTGGGGGTCGTAGTGGGGATGTGGTGGGGTCGTGCGGTGGGGAGTGGTGGGGTCGTGATGGGGAAACGTGGTGGGGTCGTTAGTGGGGATGTGGTGGGGTCGTGGTGGGGATGTGGTGGGGTCGTGATGGGGACTTGGTTTGGGGGTCTTTGGTGGGGATTTTGGTGGGGGTCGTGATGGGGATGTGGTGGGGTCGTGGTGGGGGGTGTGGTGGGTCGTATGTGGGGATGTGGTGGGGTCTTTGATGGGGACGTGGTGGGGTCGTAGTGGGGTCGTGAGGGAAAGACGTGGTGGGGTCGTGAGGGGGACGTGGTGGGGTCGTGATGGGGACGTGGTGGGGTCGTGATGGGGATGTGGTGGGGCGTGGTGGGGGTGTGGGGGGGGTCGTGATGGGGATGTGGTGGGGTCGTGGTGGGGGTTTGTGGTGGGTGTAGTGGGGATGTGGTGGGGTCGGGGATGGGGAGTGGTGGGGTCTTTAGTGGGGTCGTGATGGAGACGTGGTGGGGGTCGTGATGGGGACGTGGTGGGGTCGTGATGGGGACGTGGTGGGGTCATGATGGGGATGTGGTGGGGTCGTGGTGGGGGTGTGGTGGGGTCGTGGTGGGGATGTGGTGGGGTCGTGGTGGGGATGTGGTGGGGTCGTGTTGGGGATATGGTGGGGTCGTGTTGGGGATGTGGTGGGGTCGTGGTGGGGATGTGGTGGGGTCGTGGGTGGGGATGTGGTGGGTCGTAATGGGGATGTGGTGGGGTCGTGGTGGGGATGTGGTGGGTGTGATTGGGGATGTGGTGGAGTCGTGGGGGGGGGTCGTGGTGGGGATGTGGTGGGTCGTAATGGGGTTTGTGGTGGGGTCGTGGTGGGGATGTGGGGGGTTTCGTGATGGGGATGTGGAGTCGTGGTGGGGATGTGGTGGGGTCGTGGTGAGGATGTGGTGGGGTCGTGGTGGGGATGTGGTGGGGTCGTGGTGGGGTGTGGGTGGGGTAGTGTGGTGTTCTACGTTAAGTTATGAAGGGTTTGTGGGAGTAAGTTCAGTAACGTTTGCGTTCCCACCACCCCCAGAGGGCTGCATGGGGTGGGCGGTGTGTGGGGCGGGTGTGGGTGTGGGCGTGGGGTGTAGGCGTGGGGGTCTTCTGCATGTGCTTCTCTTGCTGCTCAAGATCCATTGATTGACGTGTGCGTGGATTACACGGCACCCTGGGAGAGGCTAGGAGGCGCGCGGCACGAGTGAGAGAGTGAGAGAGAGAGACAGTGAGAGAGTGAGTGAGGGAGAGTGAGGTGCGCGCGGTAGAGAGACACTGACAGTGTGGCTCCGACGCTGCTGACGCTCGGAACACTGCTCTAGTGTGTCGGTAGCCTCGTCTTGTCTGCTAGTGTGTGTGTGTGTGGGTGAGGGGGTGTGGGGGGCCCCCTCAGTGTGTGGCCCACATGGTGTAGTGTAGAGGCCAGACAAGGGCCACAGTCTATGTTGGCCACTCAACACTAAACACTACTCTATATGCCCATCAAGACGGGGCGTCGCAAGCAGCCTGTCACCACGGGGTTGGGGGCCCCAGGGGACCATGACGGCCTGCCCCCAGCCCCGCACATGATGCCCGGGGCCGTGGGCCCTCAGGGTCCCCTCAGCGGGGACACTGCCCCCGTGGGGCCGGCCAATATGCCCCACGGACCGCAGGGAGGGCCCGTGGGGCTCGGCTCCCACCCGGGCCATGTTCCCCCCGGAGCTCCGGCCTTTATGCATGGTCCGGGTGGTCCTGGAATGCCCGGAGGACCAGTAGGACCCGGTGGACCGGGACCAATATCCAGCGGACCAGGGGGCCCCGGTATGGCCAGTGGTCCAGGAATGCCAGGTCATGGTATGCCCAACGGTCCTCAGATGCCCTCTGGTCCCAATGGGCCAGGTATGATGCCCGGACCGGGTGGACCTGGACCTGGGATGCCAATGCATGGACCAGGTGGACCACCAGGACCCATCAACCCTGCATTCTTCAGGTAACTGATCTCTGTTTATTATGGGTAAGAAGGAACAGGGGTTGTGAGGTGTGTGGGGGACCCTCCTCACCTCCAGTGTGGAGGTAGGGGACCCTCCTCACCTCCAGTGTGGAGGTAGGGGACCCTCCTTACCTTCAGTGTGGAGGTAGGGGACCCTCCTCACCTCCAGTGTGGAGGTAGGGGACCCTCCTCACCTCCAGTGTGGAGGTAGGAGACCCTCCTTACCTCCAGTGTGGAGGTAGGGGACCCTCCTTACCTCCAGTGTGGAGGTAGGGGACCCTCCTTACCTCCAGTGTGGAGGTAGGGGACCCTCCTTACCTCCAGTGTGGAGGTAGGGGACCCTCCGTACATCCAGTGTGGAGGTAGGGGACTCTCCTTACCTCCAGTGTGGAGGTAGGGGACCCTCCGTACCTCCAGTGTGGAGGTAGGGGACTCTCCTTACCTCCAGTGTGGAGGTAGGGGACCCTCCGTACCTCCAGTGTGGAGGTAGGGGACTCTCCTTACCTCCAGTGTGGAGGTAGGGGACCCTCCTTACCTCCAGTGTGGAGGTAGGGGACCCTCCTTACCTCCAGTGTGGAGGTAGGGGACCCTCCTCACCTCCAGTGTAGAGGTAGGGGACCCTCCGTTCCTCCAGTGTGGAGGTAGGGGACCCTCCTTACCTCCAGTGTGGAGGTAGGGGACCCTCCTCACCTCCAGTGTGGAGGTATGGGACCCTCCTCACCTCCAGTGTGGAGGTAGGGGACCCTCCTTACCTCCAGTATGGAGGTAGGGGACCCTCTGTACCTCCAGTGTGGAGGTAGGGGGCCCTCCGTACCTCCAGTATGAAGGTAGGGGACCCTCCTTATCTCCAGTGTGGAGGTAGGGGACCCTCCGTACCTCCAGTGTGGAGGTAGGGGACCCTCCTTACCTCCAGTGTGGAGGTAGGGGGACCCTTCGTACCTCCAGTGTGAAGGTAGGGGACCCTCCTTACCTCCAGTGTGGAGGTAGGGGGACCTTCCGTACCTCCAATGTGGAGGTAGGGGACTCTCCGTACCTCCAGTGTGGAGGTAGGGGACCCTCCTTACCTCCAGTGTGGAGGTAGGGGGACCCTCCGTACCTCAAATATGGAGGTAGGGGACCCTCCGTACCTCCAGTGTGGAGGTAGGGGACCCTCCTTACCTCCAGTGTGGAGGTAGGGGGACACTCCGTACCTCCAATGTGGAGGTAGGGGACCCTCCGTACCTCCAGTGTGGAGGTAGGGGACTCTCCTTACCTCCAGTGTGGAGGTAAGGGGACCCTCCGTACCTCCAATGTGGAGGTAGGGGACCCTCCGTACCTCCAGTGTGGAGGTAGGGGACCCTCCTTACCTCCAGTGTGGAGGTAGGGGGACCCTCCGTACCTCCAGTGCGGAGGTAGGGGACCCTCCTTACCTCCAGTATGGAGGTAGGAGGACACCTCCTCACCTCCAGTGTAGAGGTAGGGGGACCCTCCTTGCCTCCAGTGTGGAGGTAGGGGGACCCTCCTCACCTCCAGTGTTGAGGTAGGGGGACCCTCCTCACCTCCAGTGTGGGAGGTAGGGGGACCCTCCGTACCTCCAGTGTGGAGGTAGGGGGACCCTCCTCACCTCCAGTGTGGAGGTAGGGGGACCCTCCGTACCTCCAGTGTGGAGGTAGGGGGACCCTCCTCACCTCCAGTGTGGAGGTAGGGGGACCCTCCGTACCTCCAGTGTGGAGTTAGGGGACCCTCCTCACCTCCAGTGTGGAGGTAGGGGACCCTCCTCACCTCCAGTGTGGAGGTAGGGGACCCTCCTCACCTCCAGTGTGGAGGTAGGGGACCCTCCTCACCTCCAGTGTGGAGGTAGGGGGACCCTCCTCACCTCCAGTGTGGAGGTAGGGGGACCCTCCTCACCTCCAGTGTGGAGGTAGGGGACCCTCCTCACCTCCAGTGTGGAGGTAGGGGACCCTCCTCACCTCCAGTGTGGAGGTAGGGGACCCTCCTCACCTCCAGTGTGAAGGTAGGGGGACCCTCCTCACTCCAGTCTGGAGGTAGGGGGACCCTCCTCACCTCCAGTGTGGAGGTAGGGGGACCCTCCTCACCTCCAGTGTGGAGGTAGGGGGACCTCCTCACCTCCAGTGTGGAGGTAGGGGGACCCTCCTCACCTCCAGTGTGGAGGTAGGGGGACCCTCCTCACCTCCAGTGTGGAGGTAGGGGACCCTCCTCACCTCCAGTGTGGAGGTAGGGGACCCTCCTCACCTCCAGTGTGGAGGTAGGGGGACCCTCCTCACCTCCAGTGTGGAGGTAGGGGGACCCTCCTCACCTCCAGTGTGGAGGTAGGGGGACCCTCCTCACCTCCAGTGTGGAGGTAGGGGGACCCTCCTCACCTCCAGTGTGGAGGTAGGGGGACCCTCCTCACCTCCAGTATGGAGGTAGGGGGACCCTCACCTCCAGTGTGGAGGTAGGGGACCCTCCTCACCTCCAGTGTGGAGGTAGGGGGACCCTCCTCACCTCCAGTGTGGAGGTAGGGGGACCCTCACCTCCAGTGAGACAGGGAAGGAAGGAAGAAATTTGTTTAGCTCTTACTAGACCCCACAAGTGAAGGGTGACAGGTGCTCTGATAATTGTTTGTGGGGTTGAGTGCCAGCTCCTGGCCCAGTCTTCTACACCATGATGATCAGCGTCACTGCCGCCATCACTACCCTAGTCATCACCCTCACACTAAACAAATACTTCTTTACATCATTCTGGTTCATCTTGGTGACCTTCCTCACACTTGTGCTCACATCACCTTCCTCACACTTGTGCTCACATCACCTTCCTCACACTTGTGCTCACATCACCTTCCTCACACTTGTGCTCACATCACCTTCCTCACACTTGTGCTCACATCACCTTCCTCACACTTGTGCTCACATCACCTTCCTCACACTTGTGCTCACATCACCTTCCTCACACTTGTGCTCACATCACCTTCCTCACACTTGTGCTCACATCTAACATTTGATCGGATTTTTTGTTGGGATTTTTTACCTAGAGGGTTAGCCACCCAGGATTACCCAAGAAAGTGAGTGCGTCGTCGAGGACTGTCTTATTTCCAGTATGGTCCTTCAAACTTGTCCCCCAGGATGCCACCCATACCAGCCGCTGGCACCCAGGTACCTACTTCCTTGCTAGGTGAACAGGAAGGAAAGGTGTAAGGAAACAAGGCCAACGTTTCCACCCGTACCGGGAATTGAACCACAGACACTCAGTGTGTGAAAACGTTGATGTCTTGTGTGATTAATGTTGTTGATGTGCTGATTGTTGGGCTCTTTTGCGGTGACGATGTGTTGTAGCGTGTGTTGTAGCATGTGTTGTAACATGTGTTGTAGCATGTGTTGTAGCATGTGTTGTAGCATGTGTTGTAGCATGTGTTGTAGCGTGTGTTGTAGCATGTGTTGTAGCATGTGTTGTAGCGTGTGTTGTAGCATGTGTTGTAGCGTGTATTGTAGCATGTGTTGTAGCATGTGTTGTAGCATGTGTTGTAGCATGTGTTGTAGCGTGTGTTGTAGCATGTGTTGTAGCATGTGTTGTAGCGTGTGTTGTAGCGTGTGTTGTAGCATGTGTTGTAGCATGTGTTGTAGCATGTGTTGTAGCGTGTGTTGTAGCGTGTGTTGTAGCATGTGTGTTGTGTGTGTTGTGTGTTATATGGTGTCTTGTGTTAGTATGATAGTGTAGTTGTGTGTTATATGGTGTCTTGTGTTAGTATGATAGTGTAGTTGTGTGTTATATGGTGTCTTGTTTGTGTGATAGTGTAGTTGTGTGTTATATGGTGTCTTGTGTTAGTGTGATAGTGTAGTTGTGTGTTATATGGTGTCTTGTGTTAGTTTGATAGTGTAGTTGTGTGTTATATGGTGTCTTGTGTTAGTATGATAGTGTAGTTGTGTGTATATGGTGTCTTGTGTTAGTGTGATAGTGTAGTTGTGTGTTATATGGTGTCTTGTGTTAGTGTGATAGTGTAGTTGTGTGTTTATATGGTGTCTTGTGTTAGTGTGATAGTGTAGTTGTGTGTTATATGGTGTCTTGTGTTAGTATGTAGTGTAGTTGTGTGTTATATGGTGTCTTGTGATAGTTGTAGTTAGTTGTGTGTTATATGGTGTCTTTGTAGATAGTGTAGTTGTGTGTTATATGGTGTCTTGTGTTAGTGTGATAGTGTAGTTGTGTGTTATATGGTGTCTTGTGATAGTGTAGTTGTGTGTTATATGGTTCTTTGTGTATGTTAGTTGTGTGTTATATGGTGTCTTGTGATAGTGTAGTTGTGTGTTATATGGTGTCTTGTGTTAGTGTGATAGTGTAGTTGTGTGTTATATGGTTTTCTTGTGTTAGTGTGATAGTGTAGTTGTGTGTTATATGGTGTCTTGTGATAGTGTGATGGTGTAGTTGTGTGTTATATGGTGTCTTGTGTTAGTGTGATAGTGTAGTTGTGTGTTATATGGTGTCTTGTGTTAGTGTGATAGTGTAGTTGTGTGTTATATGGTGTCTTGTGATAGTGTGATGGTGTAGTTGTGTGTTATATGGTGTCTTGTGATAGTGTAGTTGTGTGTTATATGGTGTCTTGTGATAGTGTAGTTGTGTGTTATATGGTGTCTTGTGTTAGTGTGATGGTGTAGTAGTGTGCCTTAGTTTTTCCTGATGCTTGGTGTGTTATGTGCTCTGACAAAGTTGTGTGTGGTGTTTGACGCCCTCCTGGCCCCGCCTCCTAGACCACTCTGGCATCTCTGATTTCTGGCCTCTTGGGTCTTATCATATCTACTCTTGAAGCTGTGTATTGAGTATGCCTCCACCACTCCACACTGTATACATAAGAGAATCACCAAATAGAACGAAACGAACACGTGATGTCAGCTGACATTTCGTTCAAAGAACACACTACGGCAGACGTCACGACAACCAGGAAAATGACGATGAATAATGAAAACTGACAAAATATGAGAAATAATGTCATTCAAATCCGTGGTCTCAGATTATTCAACATCTTACCAGAA